ATCATTAGAAGAAGTGACGTGACGTGTCCTCGTCGCATTTAGATGTTTAGCCCTTGGTAAGGCCCTTTTTATATTATTGTAACTTTGTAAATATATTATTTTATCTTTAATAAATTGTTAATTGTTGTTCTGCTCTTTTATTTCCCCGAGTCAGGTGTAGCACATAGAGTCACTAGATAAAGTAGCTCGTGACAATAGCGATATCAGACATACAAATAGCTTACATAATAAATAACCGGTACTTTAAATAATAACAATTACGGTAATCATGCAATTACTCCCTAATGAAAGAACCTTGGTGTGAACTGTATTGCACGATAAATATACGTACTGTAAAGTATGGTTCTTGAAAGCAGTGGCGGCTGATGGCCTAGTTTACGAGGAGACTGACACACCTTGTAATGTCTTTGGACACACCCTATATACTTAATACAAATATATATTTCTATTGGAATACAGTGTAATATTTCTGCTTTTTTGTTTTATTAAAAATATATGTCTGTATTAAGTATAGTAGCTTACTGTCCTCGTAGACGACGCCACGCGCCGCCTCTGCTTGAAAGCTAATTTTATTAGTAGGGCGGTCCCAAGATGAGAATGGTACCCTAGTATTCACTCAGTGCGAAGTCATGGTAGGGGAAGCAGAAGCGATACTAGCGGATAATTCGTGCATTTTAGGGCGATATTTTGTAATTTTGGCACACTGATCTGTATTATTTTACTGAATAGGATATAGCCCCCTAAAAAACGTTCCGAAAAATTGGTCGTTTTGGGCAAATAATATGGCGGACCGGATGTTATTTAACATAACCTCTATTTCCATTTGTCATCACATTTGTCATTTAATTGTGTCAACAAGTTACGATGAGATGTGTTTTTATTGTGAAAAACAAAGTAAAAAGATTATCCGTACTCTTCATAGGTAAATAAAACTATTATGTTTATAATAATTTGGGTAATTATTGCGAAGACGCCCTTTTCTTAAAAATACATATTTTTTTACAAAACTTACATTTTAGTCTTAAGGAAGGAGAGTATTTTTCAAATATACCACCGGAAACCCCATAAATTAACGTTTTTTTTTTAATTACATATTAAAGTCTTATGAGGATCATTAAGTGATCGTTTGTGTAAACTTATTCATTAAAATTTAAAATTATGTCTTTCATGTTCTGTTCAACAATTTTCATAAAAATCAGAATTTTGCACATTTTGTCAAATTTCTCGAATACGGACCATTTCAGGAAATTTTGACAAAGCAAAAATTATAGATAATAATATTAGAAGTACTTTTATTTGAACAATTTTCTTCTCCAAACATAAATAACAGATATATTCCATAAAACATGAAAACGGCTTCCCATAAAGTACCCCCAGATGTTCCGACTTTGTCCAAAATTTAATCATTTCACGTCAGGCCGAAATAAAACTTAAGTTTAAAATTTAATGTTTTTTTATCCGTTTTTGAGTTTTCTTCAAAATTAAAAATTTTCTCGAATTTCTCGAATACGGATCATTTTAGGAAAATTTTGTATAGAACAAAAATTATAGATAATAATATAAGAAGTAACTTTTATTTGAAGAATTTTCTTCCCCAAACGTAAATAACACATATATTTCATAAAATATAAAAATGACCACCTACAAAGTACCCCCCCAGATGTTCCGACTCTGCTCA